AAAAAAAAAAGAAAAGAAAGAAACAAAAACGGCATCTTTACCTCTTCGCACCTCTTTGCGCGGACGCCAAACGGTGATGAAATGACAAGAAACCCAATTGCCGGCCTTGGGGAGGGTGGGGGAGAGACCGCGTCCCTGCGTGCGTCCGCCGCGGAGCCCAGACTCCGGTAATTGCTCCAGACAGGCGGCGCGCGGGGGGCTGGGCGAGGTCGCCGCGTATAAATAGCGAGATTTCCAATGGAAAGGCGTAAATAACAGCGCTGGAGATCCACCCGCGCGCGCACGGGCCGCCTTCCTCCCTCCTCCGCGCGGGGAGACGCGCGCACCCACCGGCCCCAGCGCCTCCAAAGCTTCCTGGAGTCCTCCCCGCGCAGGTTCCTCCCCGCCGGCCTCAGCCATGGAAGAGCTCACCGCTTTTGTATCCAAATCTTTCGACCAGAAAAGCAAGGACGGGAACGCGGGAGGCGGAGGCGGCGGCGGGAAGAAGGATTCCATCACCTACCGGGAAGTTTTGGAGAGCGGACTGGCGCGCTCGCGGGAGCTGGGGACGTCGGATTCCAGCCTCCAGGACCTCACGGAGGGCACCGGCCACTGCCCCGTGCATTTGTTCAAGGACCACGTAGACAATGAGAAGGAGAAGCTCAAGGAATTTGGCACCGCGCGCGTGGCGGAAGGTAAGCTCCTCCGCGCGCCCCGCGGCTTCCCCAGGGTCCCCTCCCGGGGTTCGGAGCCGCCTCGCCCCACGGAGTCGGCCGGCGCGCGCCGCGCTCTTCACATTTACAGCTCTCCGGCTAGGAGGAGAAGGCCCCGAGGCCAGGATTTTCCTAAGAAGGAAACGAAGGCAGGAGTGGAGCCCGTTGGAGAAGCCGGGAGGTCTCCACGGTGGGAGTCTGGGAGGGGGGCAAGGAGGATCGGAGCTGGGGCCGCGCGCTGTCCGCAGGCTCGAGCCCCCTGGCTTGGGCGCAGACACGGGGCTGCGGTGGATCGTGGTGGCCGTAGGGCCTGCCATAAACACACATATATGTACATATTTTTGAAGCAGAGTCTCGCTGTGTCGCCCAGGCTGGAGCGCAGCGGCGAGATCTCGGCTCACCGCAACCTCCGCCTCCCGGGTTCAAGCGATTCTCCTGCCTCGGCCTCCGGAGTAGCTGGGACTACGGGCACCCGCCGGCACACCGGGCTAATTTTTCTGCGTTTTTAGTAGAGACGGGGTTTCTCCATGTTGGCCAGGCTGGCCTCGAACTCCTGACCTCAAGTGATCAGCCCGCCTCGGCCTCCCAAAGTGCTGGGGTGACAGGCGTGAGCGCGGTAGGACCTGGCGTCTTCGGGTGTGGGTTTCTGCCTCAGTCTCCCTGTGTCTGGACTGGATCTGAGGTCACCCACGCGGAAAGGGGAGCTCTCTCCCCCGCGCCTTCCCGGCTACCCGAGATACCGGCTTAGACTCCGGGCTGCGCGGGGGAAACAGACCCAAAGGCCCCGACCTGCCTGCTTCCGTTTCCTTTAAGAAACAATTTTTTATTTTTATTTTTCCCTTTGATCCTCGAGGCTGGATCTCGGTGAAAGCTGTTGTCTAAATCAAAACCAGTCCGGTGCCCGCAGGTGGCCGGGGTCTGGATGGGGCCGGGATCTGGATGGGGCATGAGGGCGCCCCGGGAAGCTGGTGGCTTCCAGGCCCGTCCTACTGCAGGCTGTCAGCGCGGAGCCGGGTTTCAGGCAGGCAGGCCCGCCCTGGGGGCTCTCCTCCAGCTGTGGTTCCAGAACGCTCCTTGGGAGATCTCCCCGAGGTGGAAATCGGGCTGGGAGAGGCCGTGTGTACCCCAAATCTCCCTCCAAACGCACCACCGGGTCTCTGTAAGGCTTAAGGGTGAAATGAGCGAAAAGTGTCAGGGGCAGAGCTGTAGAGGACTATTCACAGCTGTTCTTTTTTCATTACAAAGAGAGAGAGAGAATCTCATCTCCGCTGATGGGCTCCCAGAGGTGGGAGGGCAGGGGGAAGCCACCCGAAGGTCATTCTTCCTAACCCTCGGGGGCTACCTGCTTTTCTGGGGCCTACATTTTGGGGTGTGGGTGGCACAGCTCCAGGGGAATGGGTGGCCTTGCGGGCGAACTGCTGACCAGACAGGGTCCCAAGGCCTTGAGCCTGTGAAAGCATAACGGTGGGTACTAATTGTAAATCAGGGCTCCGGCGGCCGGGAGTCCACGCGCGCAGAGCCGGCCCGGCTCACCCAGCAGTTCATTGGCACGTCCAGACCCCGCACAGCCGGCCCCGCGACTCATACAAAGACAGCTCCCTAGACGCGAGGCTGAACCCCAGACTTTTAGGGCCTGACTTGAATGAATGTCAGACGTTCCGCAGGGCGCAGCGGCCAGTTCTGTAGGGTTCCTTTTTCCCCCCGTCCTTCCCAGAGGCGCGGATTTCCTCCTCTGGCGTCTCTCTTCTTCCCCCTGGCCGCGGGTCCCAGGGTGCGGCCAGCGTGCCAAAGCAAAGGGTACTCCAGGCCGTTTGAAAGCGGAAAATAAGAATTCGGGGACCCAGAGTGAGTCCCCCGCTACCCTTTCCCCTTGACTGGGCAGGGACAGACCCCACCAGCGCTGTGTCCCATGCTGGAGGTAAATGGAGGTTGGAGAGTGGGGTGAGGACCCCCGGGCACCCACCCGTGGAATCCCGTGGCTTTTGCAAAGCCGGCACGCTGGTGCTTGCACCCTCTGAAGCCGGGTTTATCAGCTGGCCTCCATCTGTGCGGTTTACACTTAGAGAAATGAAGGAGGAAGCTCCAGGACTCGCTGCAGGAAGAGGATTCAGGGTGGGGAAGGAACGCCGCGTTCTTGGAAGCACGTGCGTTTTAGGAGGCCAAAGGGAGTCTGAAGTCCACGCTGGAATAAGTGGCCGGCGCTGAATCCAGCTCGCGGGAGGCCCTGGGGTGGGTGGTGGAAGGAACAGAGAGAACGCGGCGCTGGCCTTTTCCGGGTTCCCTTTACACAGGTTGGATTGGTCAGCTTTGCAAGTTTCTGGGTGACCCGGGGCCTCTGAGACTGTTTCAAGGCTAAACTTGCAAATGTCAGCGTTTTTACCCTTGACACAAGCCTAGGCCGCGCGGGGTCTTCCTCGGTTCCCAGCAGGCCGGAGATGGGAACAGAGGGGCGTTGGAGGAGCCGCTTTCACCAACCCTGGGTCGAAGAAGGGCATGGTCAGGGTCTGAGTGTCTAACATTCGGAACAAAACGCTTTTCAGCTGGAAGCGGCTCAGAGCGGACTTTTCATGCCCTTCCCTGTCTCGCAGGTCACCGTTTTTTGGAGGGGACGCAGTGCCATTTCTGGTTCCCTGGTGGGGTGGGTGCGCGCCTGACCGCGTGTACCTGGGAAAGAGGGATTTTTCCGAACGCGGTTCGACTCCCAGGCTGCGGTGGTGCGTTCCCAATACGGGGTTCAGCTGTTCTGGTCAGAAACAGGTTCTGTGAGGAGGGGCTCGTAGCTCGGCCACTCCCCGGAGGGACCCGTATCCCCAAGCCCAGCTGCGCTGCACCCGGGGATAGCGTCTCTCCGCGGACCTAGAATCCGCAACCTGCCCGTCCCGTTCCCTGGGCGCCCCGCCAGGGACCCCACAGTCGGCAACTCTTCCTTAAAAAAAAATAAATAAACAATTTCCTTTCAAAGTATGATTTGACACCCCACTCTCCTTTAAAATAATCATCATCATAAAAAGGTTAGGTTACGTCAACAGACTAGAATTGGGTAATTGAGGAAACGATTTGGAGACGGGGCCAAGAAAACAAGGTTGTTATCCAAAAAAGCGAGTGTTCTCCTCGGGTTTTGCCGCGTGGGGTCTACGCGGTCCCTGCGTAAAGGCGCATTGGGTTTTCGGGGTTCCCCGTCTCCACCGCGGGACACGGGAAAAGGTGGCCGCGTTGCGTAAAAATAACCCCACGCGATGCGCGCGCGGTGCCAGGTTGTCTGCGCGCTGGACCCGCGCGCGGAGCTGGGGGGAGGCGGGCGCGCGCGGAGGGGACCCCGGGAGGCTTTGGAGAGGCGCCCCCCGGCCTCAGCCCCGCGTCCCCCGCCGCCACGCAGGGATTTACGAATGCAAAGACAAACGCGAGGACGTGAAGTCGGAGGACGAGGACGGGCAGGCCAAGCTGAAGCAGAGGCGCAGCCGCACCAACTTCACCCTGGAGCAGCTCAACGAGCTGGAGCGGCTGTTCGACGAGACGCACTACCCCGACGCCTTCATGCGGGAGGAGCTCAGCCAGCGCCTGGGGCTCTCGGAGGCGCGCGTGCAGGTAGGAACGCGGGGCCCTCCGGGCGCGCCGCCGGGGCCACCTGCGCCCTGCCCGGAGCGCGCGGAGCTGGGGTGCGGGGCGCGCGGGGCGCGCGGCCTCCGGGACACGCCTGCGGCCTGCAGGGTGGCTTCACCGGGTTGGTTTGCACGAAGCCCAGACAAATACATCTACACGCACATGCATGTGTATTACATATGTGTATGCGCATATGCGTTGAATTGCGTTTTTGTGTATATATGGCTCTTGTATATTTCTATATATATATATATATTTGTTTGCCTTTATATGTATATTTATATATATGTAAAGGCATACAACATACGTACATATATATAAAGGCATGTAAAATATATATATTTATATATATACAGGCATACAACATAGTTATGTATATATGAAGGCATGTAAAATATATATAAAGGCATACAACATACTTATATATAAAGGCATGTAAAATATATATATTTATATATATAAAGGCATATAACATAGTTATACATATATAAAGGCATGTAAAATATATATCTATATATATAAAGGCATACAACATACTTATATATATATATATAAAGGCATGTAAAATATATATATTTATATATATAAAGGCATACAACTTAGTTACATGTATATAAAGGCATGTAAAATATATACATTTATATATATATATACAGGCATACAACATAGTTATATATAAACACATATAAAATATATATATTTATATATATAAAGGCATACAATATACTTATATATATAAAGGCATATAACGTAGTTATATGTATATAAAGACATAAAAAATATATATTTATATATATGAAGGCATACAACATATATATATAAAGGCATATAAAATATGTATTTATATATATAAAGGCAGACATATTTGTTTATATTTATTTGTAGATATATTTATAGGAAAACATATATCGTATATATTTATTTATAGACATATTTCTTTATAAAGGCAAACATATTTGTATATACTCATTTGTAGATATATATCTATACAGGCAAACATATATATTTGTATATGTGTGTGTATATATATAAAAAGGCAAATATATATATTTATATATATGTGTCTATATATGTAAACGCACAACATATACATATACACATGTATATTTCTTTATGCAAATATGCATATCTGTAGATGTATTTATTTGTATATATATAATGTATATATATTTGGTGATGTAAATATATATTTGTTTATATAAATGTTTATATATTTTGACCCCTGATTCCCTTCAGCTCCCGTGGGGTTGATGATCGGGTCATTCCATTCAAACACAACTTTACTTCGATTTTAATTGGGACATGAAGATCCAGAAGCTTTTGAGGCAGGGTGTTTAAGAAGGTGTTTCATTTGAAAACATGTATCTTGGCCCCCGATTCCCTCCTGCCTTCCCTGGTGGCTGCATTTAGGATCGTTAGGAATCCTAGCAGGGTCCTCATGGTGTTTAGGATTAACGGACGGGGCTGCAGGGTGACCCTAGGAGGTCAGAAATAGGGTCTTCTGTTTCCTGCAGCTCCCTCCTCCCCTGCCCACAACGCCTCCTCCGCCCTGCGCCCGGGGGGTTTTGGGGAGGATGAGGGACCCTTTGGGCATCTGGGTGACAGCAGACCATTAGCACAGGCCTGGGGGGGGGCTCCCAGAGGAACGTGCGAATCCACAGTGCCCCCTCTGAGCAGGCTTCCTTGCCCTGCAAACATTCCCTTAAATGTCTGAATTTATTTCCTGGGTGCTGGTGTGAGAGCAGGTTCCAGAGGGGGCTCCTTCCAGCCCCCGCCTGACAGGTCAGCCCCCTGGAAGCGGAACTCCTCCTGGGGACAGATCCCCAGACCCTGGGGACCCGTTCAAAAATAAATGAAATTAAAATTGCCCACTGGGGAGAGATCCATTCAAAGCCAAGGGCTTAGCCAGAGAGAGGTGCCCGTAGAATTCTTTACGAGGTCAATGTATTCAAACGCACTTTTCCCTCGGTTTTGCTTGGAATACAGACGCGTTTGATGGGGGAGTGTTTTACAAGATCTTTCCTTAAAATACATATATATATATATAAATGGAATTGACTGTATGTATAACACACATATGTACGTATGTTTATACATGTGTGTGTTACATGCGGGTGTTATGAGA